TCTAACAACCTCTTTACATAGTGATTATTTATAATCATAAAACTGCTTGTATATTAAGTAACCAAGTAGTTTCTATATTAACATGTTGATGTAGAAATTTAAATTTAATTTAAAAAGCTTAGTACCATCAATATATTCTTTTGGCATTATTTATTCACAAATCCTAGGTATATGTCACTGTAGAAAAATGGCTCAGTTGGTATTAGTGATCTTTCTGATTCTTTCCCACTTGGAATCTGTGTATATGACTGAACAAGTTGCTAAACTCTCAGGGTTGTACTGAAATGGACTGAACCTTCTTTTATTTCATTTAGCACTTAGAGTTGTTTGATTCAAGATACCAAACTCAGTATTTTAGAAATCTGTTATACAAATTAGTCTTTTACCAGTTCAATAATACATGATAGATGGGCTCTTATTAGACATTGCTACACTGATGTCATCCTGAATTTTATTTATCACGCTTCTCATCAAATAAATAGCCAGTAATGTCCAAAGGCTAGCATGTGCATGTGCAAGAGTCTCTCAACAGATGTCACACTCATCCATTATTGCTCCCTCCAGTTCATTTCTAACTTGCATCTGGAGTGAGTAATAAAGAAAAGAAATTGGGTTTATATTCCACCCTTGCCTTAAGACTTTTAGATTTAGGGTGAAGATCAGAATCCTTAAAGAGACAAATAATCCTATTCATCCATTAAAACAGCCCACATGTGACATTCTCAAGGAAAGTTTCCCTGTCACCATTCAGACCCAGGTGAAGGCCCTAATAAACGTTGAGAATACGGGCACTGAAAGCAGATTGTTAGGGTTTCCATCCTATTTCTGCCATTTTTTTCCACTCAATGCCATCAAAACTGATGTGATTGATTAGTTAAGTTTGGTTACCATTAAATCTCCCAAATGGATCAGTTAGGGTTAATACCATGTTAAGTGTTGCTTACCAGTGAATTCTGTGCTCGGGTAGAAAACCTCATAGGAGGTGAAATAAGAGTGAATAAAAAATGATAAAATATGAAGGGGGGGAACTAAGAATTTAGGAGGGTCTTAGTATCCTCACATATAAATTTAGGCATACCAAAACTAGATTATTTCTCAGTTCCTTACCTGAGCACACCAAATACCAGTATTTTCAGTAGGTACAAAACAGCAAATACATGAAAGTAAAAAACTGTCCATGGGGCTTAGAAGATAAAAGTGAATGGCCCTAAAGACATGATTCTGCTTTCCTTTCAGAGTTATAGGGAACTTTTTAAAATTGTTTTTTCACCTCAAATGCCCCTTTTAATTTTTTTTTCCCACTATTGGGGATTGAACCCAGGGTCTGGGATTGAACCCAGAGCCAGACAAGTGCTGTACTACTAAGCTACATCCCCAGCTCTTCTTATTTTGAGACAGGATCTCACTTGCCAGGCTCACCTTGAGCTTATACTCCTCTTGCCTCAGCCTCCTCACTAGCTGGGATTGTAAGTGTGTGCAACCATGCCCAGCCCCCAAATGGCCTTACTAATTGTAGCCAAGTAGAAACAGGTCATTGTAAAAATTCAGAAAAACAATATTAAAGAAAAGTGATGTCAGTTGTAAAGTCTAGAAAATTTAAAGAAAGTTCACTTATTAACATTTAAAAAAAAAAAAAAAAAGCTGAGTGCAGTGTCACCTGCCTATAATCCCAGTGATTTGGGATGCTAAGGCAGGAGAATCACAAGCTCAAGGCCAGCTTAGGTATTTAGTGAGAACCTTGATAACTTTGCAAGACCCTGTCTCAAAAAAGTACTGGGG